TTGCTCTGTGACAGTGTTGTTACGCTCGGACTTGCTGAGCGAGCGACTTGGATATGCTACGCCGTATTCTTGGTTATCCAAGCATTGAACCAGGACAGCACCTACACCAGTACCGCTAGCGTCTGTGTGAAGTTCAGTGGGAGCCAGAGGATTGAAATGTCGAAGAATCGGATGAGATGTCAAAGGAAACTTCAACTCTGAAAAAGCAGAATCACATTTCGGGGTCCAGTCAAACTGCGCACCTTTCTGAAGCAGGCACGGATATGCGATATTGGCAAAGCCAGGAATGAATTGAACAAAGCCCCAAAAAGCTGCGCTGTTCTTTTATCGAGTGCAGTTGCTTAAACGCCTCCACTGCGGCCTTCTTGGCAGGATCCAGTCGTAAGCTTTCTTTGTCTACTACCGTAATTACTCGAATCTAACGCGCACCTTTTTTCCGGTTAAGCGAGTTCATAAATCGCATGCGCGTTAGAATCGAGTACGAACAAAAAAAATTACGGTCAATCTATTGCCATCGGCAAATCCAAAATGACCGCCCCCTACGTGCGTCGGCATGGCACGTCCGCCATTTCTGCCTATGTGTTTCCCATGTGCGGCACTTCGTACGTGTGCTGAGGAGTTCGTAATCTAGTAGTGTATTAGCACCGACGGCGTGGAAGGGCCGACTCCAAAAACTCGAGTGCACCATGATGCCGCTTTTAAAAGAAAAGTCATCGCGTGTGCAGAAACGGACGGAAATCGGGCCGCATCGCGGTCGTTCGGAGTTCCCGAAACGTGCGTGCGGGACCCGCGGAAACAAAAGCAGAAGATTGTCGACAGCAAAGCTTCACGCAAAGGCTTCAGTGGAGCACAGCAGGGTCGGTTTCCGCAAATTAAAGAGCAGCTCAACGAGTATGTGCTTGAGCAGCGAGCGGCACAGCGGCCCGTGACGACAGAACTGCTCCAAGTGCGGGCTATGCAATTAGTCTTAGAAAAAGGTCTAATGCGGAGCCAGTTTAAAGCGAGCAGGTGCTGGCTAACTAACTTTATGAAGAGGAAAGGCTTTTCCCTCCGAAGGGGAACATGCATATGCGAAAAGTTTTGCGGAGGAGTACGATGAAAAGCTTCACAGTTTTTAGAGGTTCGTCCTAAACTTGCAGCGCAACAACGGCTACCTGCTTGGGCAAATCGGGAATGCCGATCAGACGCCTCTTTACTTCGACATGCCTGGCACCACAACCGTCGAGAAGAAGGGGGCGAAGCAAGTTCGCGTGCTGACATCGGTCCACAGTAAAACTACAGTGACGGCAATGTTCTGTTACACGTCAGATGGGCACAAGCTTCGCCCGTACCTCATATTTAAATGGAAGACGCTCCCGAAAGGAGTCGTTTTTTCGAGTGGTGTGAGCGTGCGGGCCAGCGAGAAAAATGGGTGCGCGTTGCAATCGATATCTTACGTTTTTTTTTTTTTTCGCGGTGGAAATCGGGTGCGCGTTACAATCGAGGGCGCGGTAGAATCGATTAAATACGGTAAGTGTCCAAGGACGAGTGTTTAGCGCTCTCCAAAACGACATTTCTTTGAGTTGAGCACCAAGCGTGCTTTGCTTAGGCTGTCCAGCACGAGGCCGATGAATGTTTTGTGCTCAGAAAAGGTGCGCCCGAAAGCTACTATGACATCCAAATAACACATACACACTTCCCACTTCAATCCACGCGGAATGTTGTTCATGAAGCACTCAAAAGTTGCAGGCGCATTGCAGTCCAAACAGCATTACATTAAATTCAAAAAGTCCATCTGTTGTAACAAATGCCGTTTTCTCCTTGTCTTCCTCGTGCATCGGAATCTGCCAGTAGCCTGACCTCAAATACACAGACGAAAAGTAAGAGGCCGATGATAGATAGCCGATAGCATCATCAATCCGCGGAAGTGGGTATACGTCTTTTTTAGTGATGGCATTGAGACGGCGGTAGTCAACACAAAATTGCCATGTCCCATCCTTCTTCTTCACTAGAATTACTGGAGTGGCCCACGGACTACATGATTTTTGAATTAAATTTTTCTTGAGCATCTCGCAAACCTGTTCATTGATCACTGCGCGTTCCGAATGCAATACATGATATGGTTTCTGTCGGAGAGGTCTGTGAGATGTCGTGTCGATTCAGTGCTTTATACGAGAAGCAGGGAATGACGGAGGATCGTGCTGAGCGAAATCAAAAATACTGGCATGTTTCAAAAATACTCGCCAGTTCATTACGTTCGTTGGTGCTGAGTGACTTGTCAATCATAGCCATAATGATGGTGTCCCTGGCATGCAGATTATCGCAACGGGTCTTATCTGGGGAATCGCTGCTCTCTGCAAGAATGGCAAATGAGAATACTTGTTGTTCACGAATCTCTGCAAGTTTCAGACCCTCCGGCAGCACTGTAGGTTCATCAGATCAGTTAATCACCCGTAAACCAGTATGCTCTTGCTTAACCGATAGCGTACAGTAGGGTATTAGAACTGCCTTCTTTATGCAACTGAGGTGCACGGGCTCCACGGTTGCATCAAATGTTTTCTCGCTTACAGTGCAGGAACAGACAACAGGGACACATTTTGCAGACAGTGGCGGCACAACTGTGTCCACGGATACGCAAAGAGCACTTTCCTGACTGGTCGTGTTTTCCATAAATGCTACTGGAATATCGGAATCTACTGTAATTCATCCTGTGCGGCAATCGAAAGTGGCACCACATAGGTTCAAGAAATCGAGTCCTAGAATGACGTCATGTGTACTATGAGGGAGAACAGCAAACTCTGCAACAAATTTCTGGCAAGCCAAACTAACAGTCACAGTGCAGACACCAACAGGTTGTAACTCATCTCCGCTCTTTCCACGAAACTTATCAGAACGGTCCCAACGAAACATAAATTTTCGTCCAAGGAGGCGGGTGAAAACGAAACTCATCACTGACACGGTTGCACCTGTGTCCACAAACGCTATTGTTAGTACACCATCGATAAGCACTCGAACCTTATTTTTAAACATGGAAGCTAAAGCAGGTATTTCTGTTGAAACTGTAGACTGTCCAGCGACCTCACCTCCAACGGCCGCGCCGACTAGTTTTCCGTAGGAGGCAAGGAGTGGCGGCGCCGAGGAGACGGTGATCTGTTGCCGCGAGGGGCAGGCGGTGGTGTCACACTGCGGTCAGAGGCCGGAGATTGGTTTCGTAGTGGTCCTGGGATCTTGTAAGACGCGCTTCCCGGGCATCTTGGTGCTCGTATAACGCCAGAACGGTTATATCTCGGTGATTGGTCATACCTTAGCGGCTGCCGGTAGTTCCAATACCTGGCAATGTGGCCTTCGAAGCCACAGTTGTAGCAGACTGGTAGAGGACGTTTGCCGAACCAATGCTGAGACCACTCAGCTGTGAAGGGTCGGTGACGAGCTTGCTGAGCGGGGGCTGCCCACCTCTGTGTGGCGGGGCTGTGACGAAGGCGTTGGCCGTATCGCTGGTCGGCCGCGAGTAAATCACGACGTGGCCACGGAGTTCTAGTTTCGCTGATATCTGTCACACATACCGATGGTTGCAAAGGAGCTAATGGTGCCGCCGTGTAGTAGGGTGGACTGGTAGGCGGATGAGGAATGGTTTCGGCAACCCAGTCACCTTGTCATTGCAGCTCTTCACGTACTATTGCCCGAATAGTAGCGGCAAGGTCGGCAGACAGGCTCACGTCAACGCTGGTGACCGTTGTCACATTTGCCAGCCTACCAAATTTTGGGGCAATACGACGAGTCTTCAGCTTCTTGAAAGTACAGCAGTGACGTTGGACGGCGGAGACAGAAGTGAGGTCTTCCCTGCCTATCAAAAAATTGTAGACGTCCTCTGTTATACTCTTCAGAAGGTGTCCGACCATGTCCTCTTCAGACATATACGTGTCTATGATCTTGCAGAGCATCAGAACCTCCTCTATGTAGGTGGTGCATGTTTCTCCAGGAGTCTGAGCTCTTTGAGCCAACGGCTCCGCGCTTTCCTTTTTCGAATCAGAGTCTCCGAAGCATTTCTTGAGTTCTTCAGCGAAACGATCCCACATTGTTAAGGAATCTTCGTGGTTTTCGTACCACATCAGGGCGGTTTCCGTGAGAAACGGTGCGACATTTCCTAGTTGGTCGGTGAGATCCCAGCAGTTGTACCAGCTCACCCTTTTGTAATGTGTCAGCCACGCATCCACATCTTCTCCTGCTCTTTCCGCGAACGGGCAGGCTTCCATATAGTGATACTGAGGTGCAGCCAACACTCACCTTTGCATGGTTGAGAAGCCGTGATCTTCGCTCTTGGCCATGACGGTTGTCGTCGGTGGCAGACCGGCAAGACGACGGCTCCGGCATAGTTCAACCAGCTGTGGCTTTGTGGTTCGTCAACGGGCTGTCACCCAGCACCTCCACCACTCTGTTACGTTTACGAGGGGGGTTTATTCAGAGGCGAGGTAGAGGGTATACAATGAACGCGCACCAGAGACCTCTTGCCACCAACTGAACGTCCTCTTCGTCTGGCACCACCCGATTCTCTGCTACACAAATGCACATACCTAAATTGCATATGTGGTAACAATATATTCAGTGTGACTTCGCAAAAGTGCATAATTTCTTCTGGATAGATGGTTTCATGGCATAGCAACCTTATGCTGCAGTGAAACCACCTTAGAGTACATGCGATGCAATTTATTTTGGTTCATTTTGTGTAGTTAAATTATTTCAAATTTGTTGTCAAACGAATTTGAATGCTGTAATTATTGTTTCATAATTTGCGGCACTTTAATGTTTGCCCACAGTAAGAAAGAATTTTCATTTTCAATGAAGTAAATGAGGGCTGTGTTCACTTTAGTGGAACATTACAGATATCCATTTGTAATGAATTTTCGTGTTCTTATGTCTGGGTCATTTTGTTGTCATATGTGACTTTGTTTTGACTGTGCAAGGGGACATATTTTGTTATTTTTTAAAAGCATAGCCTGGGTTTTCCCTTTTTGATTTCCCAGGGAGCCCCCTGTCGGCAAGCAGTCCCAGTTCGACAACGACCTCGGGTGGCGGCCTGCTACAACTGCAGGATGCCACGCATCGCGGTCTCTATCGGTTTGTACCGAGGCACGCGGACGAGGTGGCAATCGACATTGGTGACCCCGTTTACGTCAGCAAGGAGGCAGACGATGCGTGGTGCGAAGGTGAGCTCATCTTGCTGTGAGAGAGAATTTATTGACAGAAAGCTAAAGAGGTTGGCCTAAGCTACAGTTCGCTCTGGCCTGCTAGTCTACCCTGGGGAAGGCTGAGAGGGAGCGAAAAAGTGGCAAATGACCATGGTAAGGTAGGGAAAAGAGAATATGGTCTTGTTAGAATGGGGTAACTCTAAAGGCATGCATCCAGTCCAGTGGCATGTGAGAATTCTAGGATGGCTCCTATGACCACATTTGTGCTGCTGGCGTCAGTCAAAGAACCTAATACTACCTCTACATTTGTCTTGGTAATGTTAAAAGAGGAAGTTGCTTTCGTTAGTACCTTTCTTATGTCCTAATGGATTTTGATGAAAATTGGCATGCTTGTTAGAAATGTTTTTAAGTGCTACTCTTAAAATTTTATGAATATATTTTCACAACGTTTTTGATGTACAATATATTTCTCTTTTATTTCTCTTTCTGGTCATGTTCCGAGTTTGACTCGCTCAAAAACATTGTAGGAAACTCGTTAAAAGTGCTACATATTCTAAGATGTTTGATTGAGGGCATAACAATATATATTTTTTTATTTGCCACTCAGTTTTTCTTACTTCTCATATTTCATGAGGTTGCTGTGTAACAGGCATGGAGGCTGTGTGCAACATTTGAAATAGCTAATTATCAAAAGGCCATACTGAAGAAGCACGATTGTCGTTCCCTTCAAGAAATATAGAACAAAAGACAGAACTGAATATAGACACAGCGGTTACTGAGAAATTGGCGGAACAAGAAAATCGGGAAGCAAAAAAAAATTATTCCGAGAAAACGGCTTCTGAAGTTGCACCAACGATATTCCATCATCAAAAGGCACATAGGTCATCCCTCTTTCGAGTCCTTTGCAATGTACAGTTTCTTGAATTCACTGCCTTCAGTTTTGACGTGCCTTGCTTTCCTAAAACACAAAAGAATAGGAGCTTCGTCGTGATTTATGATGTCGAACCTCTTGCACTTGTGGTTTTTCATCTATTGTGCCTTCATTCCCTTTCTTTTTTCTTAAAATCCTTTTCTGACTACAAAGAACATAGCGCATGGATTTTAAATTAAGTTTTTTGTACAAAGTAGTGTAATCAACATGACAGAAAATAAGACATTAAAATCTGATTGGGCCATATACTGTTACAATCTGCAAACTTTTTTGTATTGACACTATCATTGATATAATTAGCACTCTTGATTGCATTTGATCTTTGAATCATATTTGTTGGATACTAAGAATGAATGACCCTTTGAATGACAGTCTATCCCGTCCTCCCAAAGAACAGGCTGTTATGGCCAAGACATTGGAATGGGAATTCGAGCACCTTATTTTAGTCGCAAGGTGGGCAGATGTATTCTAATCTTTCTGCTTGACTCGAACGACAACGATGATGTGGGGATTTAGCGGACACCAGGGAGTGTGCCCAAAATGTCCATGCCGATCTGGTAGAATGGAGCTGTTGGGACCTGCACGGGTTGCAGGAGGCCAGCTGGTTTAGTCGGTGGTGATTTGCGTCGCTGGCAGTCGAGACAGGTACGGACGTGGTGCTTCACAGCGGCGGTTAGTCTCGGCCAGTAATACCTTTGCTGTATACGTTCTCATGTAACCCAAATGGCCAGAGCTCACCTCGTTGTGGCATGCTTTGAGTACTTCGGTACGAAGGGCTGCTGGGTTGACGAGCAGATAGGTGGATCCTGTCGGCGAAAAGTTTCTTTTGCAGAGTACTCCGTCCCGTTAACAAAACGATGACAACACTCTTGCGAAAACTCTTGGCGCCTTCTGAGATCTGCCATCCAAGTAGTTAATTAGGCCAAGCAACTTAGCGTCGCCACGTTGTTGCTGCGCAATGGCGGTCATGTCGAGGACACCGAAAAATGCCGTTTTCTCTTCTTCAGGTAGAGTTGCTGACTCAATGGGTGAACTGGACAGACAGTCAGCGTCCATATGTCGCTTGCCTGACTTATGTACAACTACCATATTGAATTCTTGCAGTCTGAGACTCCAACGGGCTAATCGCCCGGTAGGGTCTTTTAGACTTGTTAACCAGCACAGTGAGTGGTGGTCGTTAATTACTTTGAAGGGGTGGCCATATAAATACGGGCGAAATTTTAAAACCGCCCATACCACAGCGAGTCATTCCTTCTCAGTTGTGGAGTAATTAGCCTCAGCGCGTGTTAACGTTCTGCTTGCATAAGCGATTACCCTTTCTGTGCCCTCTTGCTGCTGCATAAGCACAGCTCCCAGACCAACATTGCTAGCGTCTGTGTGAAGCATCGTCGGGGCTTCTCCGGTGAAGTGGGCAAGCACCGGGGGCGTTTGAAGATGTTGATGCAGGTCATTAAAGGCAGTCTCCTGTTCTTCGTTCCACTCAAAGGCAATGTCGTCTCTTGTGAGACGAGTTAGTGGCGACGCGATGCGGGCAAAGTCTGCGATAAACCGGCGATAATAGGCACAAAGGCCCAGGAAGCGTCTGACAGCCTTCTTATTGGAGGGTACTGGGAACTGTGCGACAGCAGCAATTTTTCTCGGATCGGGCCAGACGCCTGCGTTACTGACGACGTGACCGAAAAACTGAAGTTCGTAGAAACAGAAATGTCACTTTTCTGGTTTCAATGTTAGGCCCGCAGACCGTATGGCACGTAAAACAACTTCCAGCCTTTTAAGATGCTCGTCAAAAGTGGTTGAAAACACTACAACGTCGTCCAGATAGACTAGGCACGTCTTCCACTTCAATTCCAAAAGTACCGGGTCCATAAGCCTTTGAAAAGTCGCGGGCGCGGAGCACAAATCGAAAGGCAAGACTTTAAATTCGTATAAACCATCTGGCGTCACAAAAGGGGTTTTCTCTCGGTCTCTTGGGTCTACGTCGATCTGCCAGTATCCACTCCTCAAGTCCATGGAAGAAAAGTAGGGAGCGTGTACACATTTTTTTTGGTCACCTAATTCAGCTTCATGTAGTCCACTCAAAAATGCAGCATGCCGTCCTTTTTCTTTACTAGCACTACAGGCGATGCCCAGGGGCTCTGTGACAGTTGAATGACATCATCTTCAAGCATTTTCGTGACTTGTTGTATGGCTACGTGTTCCTTTAAAGCTACAGGATAAGGGTTCTGGCGAATAGGTCTCGCCGTGTTCTCAGTGATTATTCGATGCTTTCTCAAAGGTGTTCGACCAACTCGTGAGGTCGATGAAAAGCAGGGGTGGAATTCGGCTAGCAGCTGAAGAAGTTTCTGTCGGTCGTCCTTTGACAGAGTGGGGCCAACGTCGAGAACGGGTTCTGCTTCTTGATTAGGCGCTTCGTCTAATATCGATAAACATGAACTGCCTCGCATTTCTATGATATTGTCGTACGAAGCGATAGCTGTGCCTTTCGGAAGGTGCCGGCGCTCAGTACTGAAGTTGGTCAGAAGTAAATTCGTGTGCCCACCAGTGAGACGGACGATACCTGGTGCGACCGAAATGCCATGGCTAAATAGCAGCGAGCCAATTTGGTTGGCAATGCCTTCGCCATCAAACGCTTCGTGCCCTTCCACCGAAACAAGAGTGCATGACCGTGGCGGGACGACCACATCATCATCAGTTATACGTAAAGTGTAACGTGTTGCGTCTGAACAGTCAACTAAACCAGGGCTGTTGCGGAACGTAATTGAACGGTCCGGGATGTTGATGACGGCACCATATTCTCTTAAGAAGTCCATCCCTATGATCAGGTTCTTGCAACATGAGGTGAGGATGACGAACCTCGCCACGAAAGAAGAGCCACCGATGCTGAGTCTTGCTGTACACCTTCCGACAGGCATCAAGAGCTGGCCGCCTGCTGTCCTCAGGAGAGGTCCCATCCACATAGTCTTCACTTTTTTGAGGCGCACGGCAAGGTTTTCACTTATGATAGGAAAGTCGGCACCAGTGTCAACTAAGGCTGTTGCTTGCTGTCCGTCTACAAAAACGGTAAGATCTGTGGTCACAGTTTCGTCGGCGTTACAACTAGTCGGCTTTACGACGTCCTGTGGTAAAAGTAACGAGGGCCTTTTTTCGTCGCCTTGGCGGCCTGCAACCTCACCCCCGGAGGTCGCCGCTTTCAGTTTCCCCAGCGTGGACTTGGTGACCTTCCGCTGGCGTCAGCTGTAGTGCTATGGCGCGACGAAGGCGAATATGCCGGAGACGGAGAGCGTGGTCGACATACCATACCTGGCTGGTAATCAGGCTCACTGTCGTCATTGTCGGCAAGGCGGTTGTCAAAATGGAACCGAGACAAGAAAGGTCATCGAGAATCAGCCTCCAGGCGTGGTGGGTAATCGTTGTTGTCGCGTCGATCGTCAGACCATTGCCGAAGAGGTGGAAACGTATCGATGCGGTACCAGCAATGACGGTAAATGTGGCCCACACCTCCGCAGGTAAAACAAAGTGGACGTCTATCTACGGTGCACCAGACGTCTGTCTTCCGAAGCTGTAGACGCCGCAATGGCTCGTAATGTTGCAAATGCCGTGTCTCGTTGGGAGACGGCTCTTCGTACGGCAGCATTTCATACGGCGGCTTGACGGCAGGGCGCCGTGGTGTCTGTTCTTGCGGTGGCGACCAAGGAACGGCTGCCGATGGCTGGCAGTACGACGGCGCAACGGGCGGCGGGCGGCGAAGCGCGGCTGATCGTGAGTAGGATAAGCTGCTGAAAACACTCTGCGTATTTCTTCGCGGACTACTTCAAGGACAGACGCCGTGGGTGGTTCCGTGACCAGAGTCCACAGCTTCAGCAGCTCTTCGCAAACAATCTCTTGTATTAAATCGCAAAACGAGCTTAGATTGTCAGATGTCGTAGCGGCGACATGAATGTGGGTGCTGCTAGACAAGCAATCGTATTGTCAGCATCTTAGGTGAAGCGCTTGCTCGATAGCCGTAGCTTCTTTGGTGAAGTCTGTCACGGTGGTTGGTGGATTCCGCAAAAGTCCGGCGAACAATTGCTCTTTAACGCCACGCATGAGGTAGCGTAACTTTTTGTCGTCGGTCATGTGCGGATCAGCTTTACGGAAGAGACTGGCCATGTCCTCAGCGAACATTGCGACCGTTTCATTGGATTTCCGAACCCATAGCTCGAGTAAATGTTGCGCACATTCGCGCCAGTCGACATTGGCAAATGTGTCAATCATCTCTCTTTTAAAGTCACCTTAGTTGACAAACTGCCTTCTCTGTTCCCGTACCAAGTACGAGCACTGTCGTCGAGATAGAAATAAGCGCGGGAAAGCCTTTGTTCAAGATACCACTGGTTGGTGTTGGCAACACGTTCATAGTGATCAAGCCAGTCTTTGACGTCTTCATGTGCTCCACCATCAAAGCGATCAGGCACCAGCAGAGAAAAGGGTTACCTGAGATGGGGTCGGCAGACTACTGCCTCGTAGTAACTGTTGTGGACTGGCGGTGGCCATTGGTAGATGTGAGCGGTGCCTTGTAGAGTGTTCCTGCGATGGTGTGAACTCTGGAGGGAGGCTTCGCAAGCGACGACTGAAGCGATGCACGGGAGTGTCGACAAGTGCTTCTGGGCTGGATGAACGACTCCCCGTGGGAGTGTGGAGCATCAGGCGGGGTCGCGGGCCAGCACTTCCACCAGTGTCGCAGTACAACGCGAAAAAAGCACAAGTACGCCTTGAGGCAGCGAAAGCAGCGTGTTATCAACAGCTGAGGCGCAAGATTGTCTTTTTTGTTCTCGAGTCAAGCCAGAGGCCCACTACCTGGTGTCCGCTGAATCTCCACATCATCGTTGTCGTTCACACGCAGACACGGGTCATTTGTTGTCTTTCGTGCTGACAAAAGTCACTGTTTTTCGTTTTGACATTAACATTTTTACTTTTCCCACTCTTCACTTTGGTCTTCTCTGTACATACACGACTGTAATATGGGGGTGTTTATACTGACCTGTTGTTTTGCATTTATGCAGGTGTCAACCTGAGGACCGGAGCCACAGGGATCTTCCCAAGTGCCTATGTGATTGATGTTGACTACTCAGACTTTGGTTCAGGTATGTTGATCTGCTCAGTTGCATAGCCAAGAGATGGCACACCGGGCCCATGCCTTCTTTCCCTTAAACTTTTTTTTTGCCATGGCATACAGAGCACAATATCGCATTCGAGCACATCTGCCTGCCCATCCACCATGGCACATGAAGATGGTGCCCCCCCAAAAAAAAAGAACATTTCTGCTTAGGCATCTAGTTATGCTTGCTCGGTAGCTCAAAAAGATGGTTGTTTGGTTGGGGTGATAGAGAAAGGAACAGCACTAAATTGCCTTGAAATATTGGGGGTTGAATTGTGGGATGTAGTACATTACAGGACTGAAATGGATTTAAAACGAAAAGTGATTGGTCGAATTTTTTCAAGTCGAATAGTTAGAATAGCATGCAGTCGAACCCGTTAATAATGAACTCAAAAGTGCCGCAAAAAGGATTGGTTATATCAGAGTAGTTCGATGTATATGGACTCGCCCATAACCCCACCTCTTCAGCCACCAATTACGATGCATTGTCTATGAATGTCACAGATTTACTTAGCCTAATTACAAGGCACTTGATATTATGTTCTAATAAAGAAAGTGAAGCAGTTGGTTGTTAGGTGTGGGTTTCAGCTGTTACGCTCTAAACTGGATGTAACGAACAGAGATACACTAAATAGTTACGTGTGGGTTTCAGCTGTTACGCTCTAAACTGGATGTAACGAACAGAGATACACTAAAACCTTGTTATAATGAAGTCAGCGGGAGGGAAAATAATTTCTGTTAAAGCAGTAATTTGATATATATGACTGCCTTATAAAGTATGTTTATTGAACATGGCATTTAATAAGAGACGCACACGGGTCTGAAAGGTCGAAAAATTTCCAAAAAATCAATTTTTTAAAGTATCTTTAAAATAATATATAGGGTCTAAAGAAGATGTTCCGAAAATGCTGTTGCCATGTAATGCGTATTCGTCGAGTAATTCGGTCTCAAAGTTAGTTTTGTGACCATTTCCACTCGCGCAACCACTTCAAAAATGGTTATATTCGACACTGCGGCGACTCAGAACCACGCCCAGTAGCACGGCCATTTTTGTCTCATTTCAAAGCCGTATTCTTCTTTTGTCTGTTCTTAGCAGAAGAACGCTTTTCGTGTAGCACCGACGCAGCTATCGCAAATACAGAAAAACCAAATACTCGTACATCATTGATGTTGTGTCGGCTTGCGCTCCATTGATAAGAGCACTCTGCGAAGTGTGCACGCGCCACTAGGTGTTAAAAGCAGAGTGCCGCTTGCTAGCGCACCTCTTCTTGCCCGAGCCATGAACCCACAAAGCATGGGTCAATAATTGTCGGAACTTGCCTGGTCCTTTCGTCACGTCTGTTGCAAAACGTAACACTTGGCGACGAGGATGGGATCATGAAGAGTAGCACAGCGTCAAGGAAGGCAAGTGTTCTCGGCATTCAGCCTCTGTTCAGTATCGACGATTGAACAGTGCTGCAATTTTGTTATCGCTGACAGATATGAAGGAAGAAGCGAGTGCAGGTTCGACGCAGTTCGCTGCTCAACTTGGCCAGATTGAACCATTCGACGTTTCCACGAATGACTGGGCATCATACGAAGAGCGGCGAACGACGTTTCTAATCGTCAACCGTGTTCCTGAAAGTGACAGAGTACATGCATTCCTGAGCATCATCGGTCCCAGAACCTACAGTCGTCTGAAATCACTGGTCGCCCCGGAGCTGCCTTCAACGAAGAGCTTCGAGGTACTGAAGAAGACCCTGGGGGACCATCTGTCACCGAAACCTTCGGTGATAGGCGAGCAAGCGAGCGAAGTTCCACAGGAGACAGCAAGTCGAAGGCGAGTCTATTTCTGATTACGTTGCCGAGCTACGGAAGCTAGCACGAACCTGTGATTTTGGAAGCTCGTTAGACGAATCCCTCTGGGATCGCTTCGTGTGCGGTTTGTTAAGAGAGGATATGCAGCGAGTGTTGTTCACTGAGGACAGCAAGCTCACGTTTCAGAGAGCGGTAGAGCGCGCTCTGGCTATGGAGGCGGCAACTAAAAGCACTGCTGAAGCCCGCACGGGTGTGCCTGCAGCCAACGCCATGTATAAAGTAGAGGCGGCATCGAGTGTCCAGTCGCAGGCATGTTTTCGCTGCGGGTCGCCAAAACATTTCGGCAAAGCGTGTCCCCACTTATATGACAAATGCTATAAATGCAACAAAAGAGGGCACCTTCAACGAGTCTGCCATAGCGCCTCCGGCACGTCGCGTGGGTAACACCCCATCAAGAGCCCTGTAAAAACATTAGCGGTGGTATCCCACTCAGAAGTGGTAGCCGTAAAGGGTGTATCTGCTTCAGTATAGAGCCTATCATGGTACCGATGAAAGTAAATGATGTGGCAGTCTCTATGGAGCTAGACACTAGTGCCGCCGTCACAGTCATGCCTTTGAAACAATACCGCCAATTTTTTTCATCAACCAGACTCGAGTGACAGAAGTCAAGTTGCGCACCTCTATAGGAGCCCTGGTGATCCTAAAAGGTGTCCTACAAGTCAGGTGCAGCACAGCGGCAGCACGGCGAGCCTGCCTTTATACGTCGTCGACCAGGAGGGACCCCCATTGCTAGGTCGGGAATGGCTTCAGGCAATCAGGCTGGAGTGGAGCATAATATGGGACGTCCACCACCTGCCAAGGTCAGAGCTGCACATTTCGTGTCGATTAGAAGAAAGGCTGCACGCTTTAATCACAAAGTACGACTCTCTTTTTAAAGATGTGCTAGGCATGATTACCGAAGAAAAGGCCGAGTTGCATTTCAAGCCTAATTAGGGACCGAAGTTTCTAAAAGCAAGAAACGTGCCGTTCGCGCTGCGAAAGACGGTAGAGGCTGAGCTTTCCAAGATGGAAAAAATGGGCATCATAACAGCTGTGGCCACATCAGATTACGCCATGCCAGTCGTACCCATTATCAAGAAAGACGACGGCATACGCCTCTGTGGCGATTTTAAGGTGGCAGTGAATCTGTGCCTTGACGTCATTCGTTATCCGCTGCCGAAGGTCGATGACTTGTTCGCGGCTCTTTCCGGAGGCACGCATTTTTCAAAGATCGACCTGAACCGCGCTTACCAGCAAGTGGTGATGTCCGATGCCTCAAAGCAATTCCTAACCTTGAATACGCTCAAGGCTTTTGGAATCGCTTCCACGCCGGGGGGGGGGGGGGGGGGGGATGAACAACAAGAGGGAACACAGGGAGGTTAACCAGGCACACGCCTGGTTTGCTACCCTACGCTGGGGGAATGGGAAGGGGGCATAAAGATGAGAGAGAGGAAAGAGAAGTGAAAGAGAGAGAAAAAGAAAAAGAGGATTGGGCCAGGGATTTTCCAAAAGATAATGGACACTATGTTGAAGGGCTTCAAGGGTGTTTGCTGCTACCTACATGATATTTTGGTAACGGGAAAAAAAACAACAGAGGACCACTTAGTCAATCTCGAAGCGCTGCTAGAACGTCTTCAAAGCCGAGGCGTCAGGGTAAAAAAAGAGAAGTGCTCGTTTTTCCGAAGCGAACTTCACTACCTTGGTCACAAAATCGGCGCTGAAGGCATTGCCTCATTGTCAGATAAAGTGGACGCACTTCTTCAGGCACCAGAGCCGAAGTCAAAGAAGCAGCTTCAATCTTTGTTGGGCGTTATCAACTATTACAGCAAGTTCGTGCCCCAGTTAGCTACGATAGCTAAACCATTTTACAGGCTTCTGCAAAAAAAGGTAGCATGGCACTGGGATGAGCATGCTCGAAAAGCGTTCAACCAAGTGAAAACTATACTGGCGCAGCCACCTACGCTGTATGGGTGCTCATTCACCTTGGTCGCAGACCATAAGCCTCTTCAAACAATATTAGGCCCGACAACTGGAATTCCCACCATCGCGGCTGCTCGGTTGCAACGCTGGGCCGTGACGTTGGCAGCGTACTCGTACGATCTGATCTTCAAGAAATAAAGCGAGACTGCGGAAGCCGATTTCTGCTCGCGTCTGCCGCTGCCAGATCTTGAAGCGAAAACCAAAGAAACAGAAGAAGCGTTTTATTTGTGGCGATTGGACTCGTGGCCTGTTTCTAGTCGAGATGTCGTGGTTGCCACAAGTAAACACCGAATTCTTTGTCAAGTGAAGGAATTCACCAATGTTGGATGGCCCACGTCAATCACGGATGAGCACTTGAAGCCTTTTTTCTGCAGGTGCAACGAGCTGACGGTGCGTCAGGGATGCGTCATGCTGGGCACAAAAGTAGTCGTCCCTGCAAAGCTGCAAGGGTTCGTTATGGACGAACTCCATGACGGCCATCCCGGCATCGTTTGTAGCAAAGAGCTGGCGCGCAGCTACGTGTGGTGGTCAACGCTTGAGGCGGACTTCGACGTCGCATCAAAAGCTGCGCTAGTTGTCAAGAGCAACGTAACGCGCCAATCAGCGCACCTCTTCACCCGTGGTCATGGCCGACTTCACCGTGGCAGCGTGTTCACATAGACTTTTCAGGACCGTTTCAGAATACCGTGCTTTTAGTGGTGGTCCATGCACATTCTAACTGGCCAGAGGTTTTCGAAATGCGCTCGACAACTGCAGAAAGCTCGATTCGTTGTTTGATCGAGCTCTTCGCACGTTTTGATTTTCCTGAAACAATTGTTTCTGATAATGGGCCTCAATTTGTTTCACAGGAGTTCAAGCACTTCGTGCAGGCAATGGGGGCACGGCACGTCCTCACGGCTCCCTACCACCTCAGCTTCAACGGGCTGGCAGAGCGTTTCATTCAGACCTTAAAGAACGCCCTCCGCAAAGACAGCACTGGAGAGACTCTGCAGGCAAAGCTGCATAAATTCTCGCTGTCGTATCGCAACACGCCGCATGCGACGACTCGTGAATCATCAGCGGCATTGCTCCTGGGACGGCGCTTATGAAGTCGGCTAGATGCCGTTAAGCCCTCCGTGACCGAAGGAGTAGCCCACAGACAATGCACTCAGGCACTAAGTCGTCCGTATCGCGATCGTCATTTCTGGGTAGGCGACAACGTGTTAGCACGTAATTATTCTGGAAAACCAAGGTGCACTCCCGCTGTGATTGTTGCTCAAACAGGTCCCGTCTCTTTCCAAGTGCGTGCAACCACACAAAGGGGCACCTTCATCTGGCGTCGCCACCAGGATCAGCTGCTGCACAGACCTGCAGAGAACGTTACCCCTATGCATGGAACAGCTGGAGAAGCTACGTCCAGCGAGTTCCTGGTTTTTCCTGAGACTGGCAACACACCAGTTCCTCCCACGCCACAACCGTCCAGGGCAACTTTGATTTTGCCACAGGCAACACCCGCCGAAGCAAGACGCTACCCCCTGCGAAATCGTCGCCCACCAGATCGATTCCAAGCTGGACTCTGACTGACTGTGTGTGTTATTGAAAAACAAGGGGAAGTGGTGTGGTGTCGGCTTGCGCTCCATTGATGAGAGCACTCTTCGAAGTGCGCATGCGCTATTAGGTGTTAAATGCAGAGTGCCGCTTGCTAGCGCGCCTCTTCTTGCCCGAGCCACGAACCCACAAAGCATGGGTCAATAAACGTCGGAACTTGTCTGGTTCTTTTGGCACGCCTGTTGCAAAACGTAACAATTGGTGCGTTTCTCCACAGGGCAGTTCCCGGTTCCCTATTGTATGTCAAGGGATTCGTCTGCTAGACAGCGGTGCGTAATCCGCCATTTTGTGACGAGGCCTAAGCGACGGCTGTGCAATCGGTGTGATGGTAGGCAGTCATCGAAATTTTCATACTGCTCATGCGTTCGAAAAGAAGTGAGAACGGCGCCTGAGAGCACGCAGCGTCTTATCAACGAAACCCTCTGCCGCTGAGAACACCGAAAAAGCTGGCTGTGCCAACGCTATCATGAACGCAGCTCTCACGATCACGGACGCGATAGCCGGGGCCAACGATCACATGGGAGACTTGTGCGACGGCACTCTCCGGGTTCCCGACGCTGAAAAAGTGGCCCTTGCTTGTCCTGCGAGTGACATTCAAAGAGACCTTTCGTCGAGGTCACCCTTACGATGCGAGCGGTTTGTTTTTCGAGACTCGGAAGCAACTGCGACCATTGGAACACCGTTCATCCTCATAAGTTTAGGGATATTGAATGAACCGCTTCAGTGTATGAAGTGCGGTGTGTGTAGCGAGCGTGGCAGCATTTCCGAGAAAGATCGGGAATATGGCATCGCCACGAAACTTGTGCGGAGGTGCGCTGAGGGCGGGGAACTGAACTTTGTACAGAGCTCGTCGAGAGCGGGGGTTGGGGGGGGGGGGGGGAGGCGGTGTGCGGTCCAGTTCTGAGACAACAAGCACGCGGTTCGCGTGGCACAGCGAACGGGACAAGCTGAGTTGAATTGCATCTTTTTTTTTCACCCTGTATGTTTCATGGAGATGCAAAGACATATAAAGATTACGAGAAAGTGGGAATGATTCCTGCCTCGTAGAACGCTGCCGCACACGTTACTGACGACTGCTCGAGCACCGCCGTAACGCTGTCTGCATGGATACATCTGGCGTACAATGAAAAGAAAGCACACGAAGAATGGTGACGACTACACTCCTGGTGACGTCTAGCATCATTGCTGCACTGATTTACGCCATTACTTGTTTAATATACATGCTCACCGTGTCCCTAAACTTCTTTTCTCGTTTTCTCAAAACATTTTTCATCAGGTCTGAGGCCATTGCCCACAGTATCTTGATGTAGTGGTTAGATTTTGATAAATTTTGCAGCATTTGTAAGCTTATACATTGATGAGTGCAACAAGACTAACAAATTATGATAATTTTATTAAGAACAGTGATTCAATTCATCATATAATTAAGCAACTGTTTCAGATTTCTGATGAGTCTACTTGTTAAGGCCATAACTCTTGAACCAATGAAGCTAAAAATAAAGCTATAGTTTCCTTGCACTCCCTGTTCTTTACAGAACACTGTCATATCTAATTTGCAGCAATCTTTTATGAGAAAGCAGTCTAAACTGTGGGAATGTAAGTTTATGGAACAGTCAATATTTTAAATCTGGAAGTGACAGCTGAAAAATAATTGCATATTTGTTTTCAGCCATGAGAAATGTGTATCACAAAAAAATTCAACTCTAAATATTCAAATTGAAAAAAAAAAAATTTAAGACCAGTGTCTCCCCTTAACATAGCCTTGTGGCAGTGGGGGGGTTTCTGGAGAGATGTTTTCATGGCTTAGCATTCTGTACTGCAGTGAAACCACCTTTACAGAGGGGTTACGTGCGAACTATTATACAGCTGCTCGTTTATATCGAATACTTCGAAATTTTCAGTAACTGAAATACGACTCAAAGCAGGTTCGAATGCAGTAATATTCATTCGAAGCATTCAAATATTTGCACAAGTCTAGGTGTTACTCATTCTAATATTAAAAGCACTTGAGTATTCACCCATGAGTGTAAATTTTCATGTCGTGTGAGCTGATGGGCAAAGAAGCAGATAAGGGCGCGTCATTGGGGCTAGTGTTAGTTGAACATGTTTCCGCACTTTCAACTCGCAGAGGGTCAGCAGATCAGGAAGGAGCGCTACTTGCTTGACTTCCTGGGCTCAGTTGAAGTGTCGTGCCACAAAGGCAGTGAAGTCTTCTGCCAGGCGATTCGAAAGGTGAGCAGGCCGGGGTTTTTTTGCTGCAGTGTAACATTTGACGCTTGAAACTTTTACAGCGAAATGAAATAGACGCAAGTTAGTAGATGTTATTGATATTTCTTTTTTTTAAATATTAGTTGGCAGTTACATTACATCAAGAGGGTTTCGAAACATTTCTGAAAGTTTTAAGCTACATGTGTATTCAGAATCTTGACCCTTCATTCATCATACATCATTCATACATCAACTCATTTCATCATCTAAGTTCATTTAATAACTATAAAAAGCACAATTTAGGGTCCCCAGCTCACATTTCCCTCAACCGTTCAGCTGATGCCACTTTAAGGAGGACTCGACTTTTGTCAGCAACTATATTTCTTTACGGACTTTGCGCGACTGCATTAACTGTGTAGACAATGTTTGGCTGGGCAACCTCCTCCAGTTGAAATCATCACCTGCAGTTAACTAACTTGTTCAGTGCTGGTGACCACAGTCTTCCCTGCATGTCTCAATGACAGGTTGCCAAGGCTAGTGCTTCCGAAGTGGGCATTCACGGCTCGCATCCGTGCGTCCTCGAAGTCACCGACCTCGGCCTGCGGATGGTGGACCGTGGGCGACCAGCTGTGAGACACACTTCCGCTTTTCGCTCTTTTTAGCCTGTCTGTGTGTTGAAACCTTGAAAATGGAGCGCTCTCATGCATTATCTTGTTAATCTAAAATTGCATGACTGAGGCATTGTGGGACTGATGGAGAACGTAAGAATGGACCGGACCTAGCGCATGTGTGGCGGTGAAAGGATTTGCATTCCCATTTTCTCTTGGAGTGCACCATGTTCCTCGAGTTTGCCTTATCCTTCTCGACTTTTGTCTTCTGTGCGTACCATAAAATGTTGAGCAACCACCCCTCCTTCTCACAGGGAAACTTAATTGCTCAAGATTAAGGGAAGGGGGGGGCTTGGACCGAAAATGAAGTTGGCGGTGTAGAGTCTTAAAGATGAATGTGCACCGGTGCTCCTAATGTTCTTCATTGAATATGCATACTCTTACTATTTTTGCTGTGCCAGAGGGAATTTTCGTGTGAAATTTCATGCGTTACGACACGGAGGAAAGACAATCTTTGGATGTTCTTACAGTTTGTGGTGACCGAGAGCACAACCCCGAGGTGCCACACTGTAAAATTACAAAGGAATCGTGCGCATATTCGAAAGCTTTTAGAACTGGGTTTCCTGGGAACCTCTGCTGTGGGATTCTGTAGCAAAGAAGAGAGTGTAAAAAGGTAGTGGGAGAGAAAAGGGAAAAGGGGGGAGGGGTTAGCTAGATTATTGGTGCCTATTTCGAGTGTCCTGAAAGGGGCAGCGGCCACTTGCTTTTACGATACGAATTGCTGTTGTACATGTGGTTGTTGTAGTGCGTAGAGAAAACAACCGATTGCTGTATTCGAGTGCAACGAAATGCTTTTCTCGTTTGCAGCCCAACCATGTGCCAACACACGACTACTTTTTCAATCTGAAGAATGTCACCTTCTGTGGGTACCACCCTAAAGATCACAAGTGAGTCACTCGTCATATATTTCGCCCTGTTTGCGATAAAAATTAACAAAAAAAGTGATCGAGCTTGGAGTAGTTAAATGGAACAAGCAAACTCCTTGTGTAATTGTTAGAGAGATAAGCCATGTCATTTATATGTATTTTTTTTCTGGTTGTGGACTAAATCAGAGATTTCTGCTCGTCCAAAGCAGTTGTTCCATTGTTTGTGGGCTTGTGCGAATATTGTCATGCTTGTTTAGTTGCCTCGTTAGAATATCTGAACAGGTAATGACGTATTCGAATTCGCTTCAATTCACAATATTGGATATCTTCAAAGCATTAGAAATGAACGAATAGGTGTATGTTAGTCTGCATGTAACCCTCCCATGTAAAGAGCGTTTTACTTCAGTAGAGAGGGGCTTTATCGTGAATACACCTGTACAAGGAGAATCCCCACTGCTGTGAACTCTCACTTCAAGGTTGATGAACATATTGCCCTCACATCAATTCTTTTTTAAGCTTAAAAGCTTAATATATCGGCTCATCTGCTCTAATTAAAGTAAATTTTTAGATGTAACATATTTTACCTGTCATCACTTGCATTTTAGGGAAAGTCAAATCTAGCTACTAGTATTTAAAAGTTGCAATAACTTTCTTTCAATCAAAAAGAATGACAATTGCTCATCATTTGTTTCAATACTCAAAATATATTGTGCAGGTTAGATTGGTCAAGACAAATCGTTCATTTTTTATAATGAGTGATATATACTAATCGTCTATTTAAATTCAATTATAGAATTTTTTTGAAAAAATTGCTATTACCTTTCAATTTACTTCAATTTTGAAATTCACTTTTTGCGCAAGCCTAGTGATTAGTTCTTTTTTGCATGTATTCGTAGATATTGGTTTTGCTGAAAACCAGTATTTATTCTGCCGGATTCGAAGCCACACTCTCCTGCGCACTCTGAAAAGTACTTCCGGTTTGACTGGCAGTATCTCCGGGTAGCCGATGTTGGTCTCCTAGTAACTCTTTTGTCCCGGATATGTGTATGTATATCATGTCCCGGATATGTATATGTACGAACGTATTTATAAAAGGCACAAAGAAAAGAAATTGTCTGGAGAAAAAATTCCGAGGCACCCACCGGGGATTGAAACTAGCAACGTCTCACTTCTCAGTGCACTGCATTAACCAACTGGGCTGCGCTGCTCATACTGTCATCTAACGCGAGCTATGTATATGCACCATTTACAACTGGCTTACTGTCAATTGACTTGAAAGAAACATGCCTGAACAAAGCATGTACTCTGTTTGGACAAGCTATACATGATTTCTCTAAACATTGACCTGTAAGATGGCTTCATCTATAGAAAGGTGGGTTCACTGAAGCACATACAGTTGGATGAAATGGCCACTCAAACGTCTCTGGCTTAACTTTCACTATATAGCAATAGAACAAATTGCTCGCATCAAGTCCAGGAATATTTGGGAAGTTTCTGATCCCGTCATGCCTGTGAATTTGATTCCCATCGAAATGCACACTGCCACTATCGTTTTAAACGGACAAACTCGGCTTGCTGCCTCAGATGAGTTGCGGTGACGCTTGAGCCGTTAAAACATCGCATGGTTTTGTCGTCGCAGTAATAACATCTCACCAGGAACCTTGTAGATTGATCTCATTAACTTCTCGGTGCACTACTTTTGTGCGATGCTCCTACAGGATGTGTCGGTGATAGTCACTGGAGACTTCAACGTTGTACTTTTATGTGAAAACCAATGGCTAGTCACATTTTTCTGTGGTGAACTTGGGCTTTGCCTCCTGTTGGACGTCCCGCAGTCAGCTATTCACAATACCACCTGTCAAGATACACTAGAATCTCGATGATACCATTACGGTTGATGCGAACTTCGTGATGATACGAATTTTAAGGTTGTTTTGGATGAACTACATTATATAAAATACACTGGGATTTGGTGTTACACGAATGGTTTCCCCAGTCACCGCGGATGACCCAAATGTCCGATTGACCGCTGCATGCCCCGCTGCATGCCCCGCTGCATGCCCCGCTGCATGCCAGAGGCGCAACGCAGTGAAAACACGTCACGAGGCCGACGCGAAAAAATCTGTCCCAAGACCAATTGTTCCGCCACGCGATGGCATAGTATCGCCTTTTCGCTTCACGGCTTTGGCTTTACCCGCTGCTCTATCTGGCAGCGAAGGCATCAGCGGTTACCCGAACTTGTCTTGCTTTGCACTGCCGGCTGAATCCGCCGTCGTCGCTGTGTCCGCTCGTGTCATTTTGGCTGGCATGTCTTCCGAGGTAATGTTAGTAAAAGTCTAAACTGTTTCTTTTCAGTGCCTTGTATGCATAATTATATAACTCAGTGGTCAGGGAACCGGGCAAAATGGAATGAATTTCAAGCGGCGATGGCGGCAGTGGGGGGTGGCATGCATACGAGGGGCAGAACGAATGTAAAAATATTTTCGGCAAGCGCGGGCGTGGTTTTTTTCGTCCATGCTGGCATTTGCGCTTGAATTCTCCAATGCGAGTTCTCCAGGTCTCGTCTTTTTTTTGTGTCGACATCGCAGCGCGGTTTTACGGCTGCTGACGCAGGGAAGCGAGTGAATTTCCAATGAGTTTGGCCGCTTTCACTCGCCCTGATGTCAACTGTGAATGCGCTGCACCAGCAAGCATGGGCGAGGAAAACCGCTGTACTTCATTAAGAGGCGCTTAAGGGAGGAAAGTTTAAAAGAACATCACAGACTTTTTTTTCAGCAAGGTGTACTTGTGAATGAAGTTCTTGTTCATCATTTTTATCATCTTCAAGTTGTTTTGGTTCACACGAATTCAGGCTGATATGAATATTTTATGCGATCCCTTGAATTCGTATCATTGAGATTCTACTGTATTGTGGTTACTGCATTGCTGTCAGTCCAAGTTCAATCGGCCGTGTTCACTACGTTTAGAATGGTTCCTGTATCTTCGAACTTTACTTCTTATAACAGCCCGACGTGTTGCTATCGCATTCATTGCTTCGGCCTTGTACCGAAACTGTGACTTGTTTATGGATGAGTGAATGGATGTCATTAGTGTGCGTCGAATAAGAAATGTGCAAATACTCCCTGTGTCTTTTAGGTATTTTGGTTTCATCACAAAGCATCCGCTACGCGAGCGGTTTGCTTGCCATGTGTTCCAGGCTGAGGGCTCTACGCGGGAAGTGGCCGAGGCTGTCGGGTGAGTCCTTGAGACAGACTAAGCATTTAAGTTTTAGTGTATTAGTTATTCTAGTTACAATAAATAGTATGTGCAGTGTGCAGATAAGGGTCCCAACGTTACTCACTGCAAACAAGACCCTTGGTTAAAAATTACATAAGGGAAGATGAGAGCAAGAACAGGAAAAAAAAAATGAAGAGTACAAGTCCAAAAAAAAAATTTTCGAAATCGGCAACAGCAGCACAAACCATTCGTGCAACAAAAAGCGATCAAAGTGTAAATCATCTAGCTATCATAAAAAACTATTTAATAAATAAGTCTTGATTGATGCTTGATGTGTTACAAGGAAGTTGACTGCTTAATTGAGAACGGAAGGTCATTTCAAGTTTCAAGCAAAGATGATAATGTAATTTTACCGTAGTACAGGTTGCAGCAAGGAAGCCAAAAATTGAGATTGTGTGCAAAGCTAGCGCTGTTAGTGTTAGTTTGTAACTTACCATGATAATACATAAGGAAGGCTTGTGTAATTGCTTAGGTTGTTTAAAAACCCTTGTGCAATAAGCCTTTTGTGTATTGACCCAATCAGCGAAGCTTCTATTCATGAATGAGCATTGTAAGTGTGTTATAAAAAAAAAACACACACTTGTCAGTGTACAGTAATTTGGGTGTGCATAAATGTGGCCCTCAAACGCGTGCCGGTCACACGCGTATTTTTTTGTAGCCGTTTTTTCAGTAATTGTGGGCGTGTCGGCGATCAGTCGTTTCTCGTACGAGTTGGATCCTTTATCGAGATGTTGAGGTGACTTGCCCTTTGATTGTTGGTGCGGATAGGAATGCACGAGCATCATTGTTGCAAGTAGCTGTTGAAGTAATGCACTGATAAACACATAGATGTAACCTAATGAAACCAACTGATAAGCTAAGGAAGGTTCAATTAGCAAAAAGAAACAATGACTTGGTTTCGATTAAAAACTGCACTCTTAGTTAGAACTCTAATGCACTATGTTTCGCAATCATCAGTTCATAATTATTGGAGAAAATGAAGGTCGAAGTTTAATTCAAAATCCGCGCTTGATGTAAAAAAATTTTGATTTGCGTATTTGCACGACATTGGCTTGACTAAATTCTGTGAAACTTAGTATGCTAGATCTGTGGCACCTGCAGATGACAATTTACTTCATTTTTATGGATCAGAAGCTACGTAGGAACCAGCAGATGCCATCGAAATGTGCCGTCACTGTGTTTGGCGTGGAGGTCACATGTCCGTCGCTCTCATTTTCTTTTCACGCGCCGTCTCGCTTGCCAAGCGTTGTGTCGCCGTAAGAATGGGGTTTCAGGATTGTGAAATCGTACTTTACTAACATGCAATAAATCGTTTTGTTGTTTAGTGTCTTAAGGGGAGATGCTACTCGAAAAAACGATTTTCTTTATAAGAGTCTGAATTTAACACAAATTGGCATGCTAATAGAGTTTTTTCTCCTCTTTTCAAATATGTCATTTATTTTCATGTAGATTGCTTGGTTTTCTTTCTGCAGGTCAGATACTGCAAAATTATGGCCATTGTTATGCAACAATTCTAACCTATAAAAATTCGAGATAAAGCATGCAGATATAGCTGGCTATGATCCTTTGGAACTGTAGAGTGCAAAAAACTATAAATTTTGTGTGTAAAAGGTGAAATACAATAATAAAATAGAAAAATTTACTATGGCTCTAGTTGCCAAGGGCTTTCAATGTTTTGTCATTTTGAAAACATAATCAAGCAGCACTGACAATCTGAATAGATACTTGCACTCTATGGCCTTTATAATGCTATGTGCAAAATTTCATAGAGGTATGACAATTCTAAGTATACGAACTAGCGTGTATAAAAAGCACAGATCACAAAACTGCAAAAGGAGAAAAACGCATTTGAAAGTTTGAAACCTTTTTTTTTATCACAGAGTTGTTAGAAATGCATAATCTTTGGCCATAATGTTCAACAGAACTTTGAAAAGCACTGCAAGTTACTAGAACTGTCCTGCAGCATAGGTTGTGCCCTCACGGTCCTTGCGAGCACTCTCTTCTAGCCGTGCCCTTTTCACTCCACGACGACGGTGGGCCCTTGCTTCTGCTGTGAGACGCTCGGACATTCTCTTGATGCCCGCAGGGGCGCCTGCGCAAGTAGGCGTTTGGTGTGTAGCGACACACGGACCGAGCTAACGGGGGAGTTTCTACTCCCTCTCACGCCTCGCCGTGCGGGCTTTGCCGTGTCCGGGAAAGGGGATCCTGGGGGTTGAGCCGACGCCGGGTGATTGGACCTTTAAGGCTCCCCCCCGTCAGAGACAACACCCCCTTTGGCCCTGGCTTCACGTAGACGGCACTCCCGGATTGACCGCCTGGGGGGAATCGGCAGTTGCCTTTTCCTGTCTCCACCTCACATCTTCGTCTTCTCTCACTTTAAATCTTTCCTGTCCTCTACTCACTTCCATTGACTTCCGTGTTTCCTGGCGGCAAGGGTTAACCCTGTGTGGCTATCCTACCTTGGATACACCATATTCGGTTATAGTGGTGGCGTACAGCTGGCGTCTGCGGGGCCTGTACTTAGACCCTGCAGCGTCCCCTGTAGGACTCCATGGTGGCTGGCTGGGCCGCTGCCGAAAGTAAGCATTTACATATGGCTTGTTTCTTCCCCCACTCCCTGATCGCCCTCAGAAAAGAGGGCGCACCGATGAAGTTTTCCAGTTTTTGGTAACCAGAAAGTATTTTTCCCCGATTCCATTATCCACGCTGACACACCCGGCAAATCAGTGCGAACACTTTCATTTTCTAGTATCAAGTCTTTGACGGAAATCTTTGGCCCTGGATATAAAGCTTCGAGAATGGCAAGTGGTGACCTCTGTTGGAGCTCCGCGAGCAGAAACAATATGAAAAATTGCCAACCTAGTGAATTTGGAGATACCAAATTAATAGTAACCCCACACCGAACCATGAACACCACCGTAGCGTTCAGATGATGACT